GGGGGGGGGGGGAAGAGGAAAAAAGTCGAAGTGCGTGGTGCGATGGATGAACGAGAAGGGAGTAACGGGACAGCGTGGAGGAAGAAACGAGTAGCCGGGATTATTATGCCTCCTTCGGCCACCTGGACTATCGTTAATCTCTCCAGGCCGAGCTATCTTCTACGTGGGTTATTTATATTTCCACCGGTGCACGCTACCGAGCAACTGCGCGATTCGCCCGAAGTTTATGCAGCGCTGTTTGGTTATGAGTTTTGCAAGAACCCCGGCTCTTTCGGCCCAGGGATTCCCCCCGGTGGCAACGCTTGCCGAGACCCCATCGGGGAAATCGAGGTTAACAATGTGGCCAAGAAACTGGTTAACAGCGTTCGCTGGAGAAGTTTTCTTACCGGTGGGAGATTACTTCCGTGAACGGCGAGGAATGTGAACGATGCGTTCGGACAGCGGCGTTTGGCTTCGCGCGTGGCAGCGGGTAATTAGAGATAAAAGTTCGATTGTTCGATCCTGCGCGGTTGCGGAGCGCGATTCAAAGGGGAGTTCCGTGCTTAAGAAAGCAGAAGTGAAAGCCGAGTAATGAAATTAACTCGGGGATAAGGCGATGAATTCGACGGTCCTGCTTTCCTCCGCGTTCTGTACCCGGCGATTACCTGCGTTCACGGTAGCTAGAAAGTTCTACGCGGGCTAACGTGTCAATCTTACCATCGCGATGAATGATCGGGTAGAAAGGATGGGATCACTCGAGCGTGAATAACACACGAAGAAAAAGAAAAGAAAATGTATCACGGCCCGTCACTTTTTCCTTCCCGATAATAGCAGTTGCTGCGAGACATCCAGTTGCTCGGAACACGCGTGTACCGTAGACTGGTCAGGAGATGGCATGGCTCTAATGACATAGAGCCCGATTGGCCGCAGCGTGACGAGCAACCTTCGCCAGCGCGCAGAGAAATTCGGGGTACGTCTACTCCCATGATGGAAAGAAATGCGCGACAAAGAAAACAGACGAAGAAATCGTTTAACCGGTTTTCACGAAAATTTCACTGCTGTCGAGATAAAAATTATTTTCAAAGTAGCGATAAACAGCGGAATAATGTTGATTACCAAAGTTTGAAGCACGAGTTGGACTAAAACGTAAAAGCAGTGGCTCTCCTCGTAACGTAACATCTGTTAGAAGTGTAGGTAGCACTGCACGGTACAAAGGAAAGCGTAGAGAGCGAGAAGAGGATGACGGGAATTTGTGTTTGGACCGACCCAGCGTGCCATTGCT